ACAGGCAAAAGAGATTTGCATATATTTTCATGTTCAAGCGAAGTAAATATTTTTATCACATTCTACATTTTCATTTTATCTAGAACCATTTTGTCTACCATTTTTTCCCTTTTCAATTTTCTCTTTTAAAAATAAATAATAGTAATAAGCACGGGAATCAAATTTATAATTTTTCTTAACAATAACAAGTAATAGTATACTATTTAAAATTATACACACTTTGTTGCATTCTAAATTTTGACAAAAATTACGATTCAATGAATAAAAATTTATTATATACGATCGTTTCCTCATCAACACCTTTTCCTTTTTCCTCGACGGATCTTTCTACGGATCGTTGACTCGGAAGGGGAGAAAGAAGAACCTCGGCTCGCCACCCCAGGAAATTAATGCTTTCATTGTACGGCAAACAATCGTATTGGCCAGAAGCATCGTGTCCCTTTCCTTTCGATATCACCGAGCCGATAAGCTCACGTCGAGCACCCATCGCAGGTCGTATATATATATAATATCCATTGATTTTTGCCTCTCGTTCTCAAAAGCCCTTCGAGCATTTGCTCCTCACGGGGGAGAAGGGCATCGCCGGCTGAGGAGGGCGTTAATTTCCGTTTAGGAAGCGTTAGGGTGGCAGAGAGATGCTCTTCGCGACGCAGTTAAGATAAGATGGCCACTTAGCCATCGAGATTCTACTCGAATCTCTTTGCTCCTTTTCTTCCCTTTCTTTCTTCCCGCTCTATCCTCCCCTCCTCGTTTCCTCGTCCCTGTCCATTCTATAAGAGGTGATCGAATTAGATTTTTGGAAAAACTTCGAATAACATTTTTCGGCTCGAGAGAATCGAATTTGCANAAAGACGCCATCTCTTTGATGTTAATTATAATTCAATCAAGAGAGAAAATTCGAAACCTCCTTCCTTTATTCCTCCTTTCTCCTTTCCTTGTCCCTTTCCGTTCTACAAGAGGTGGTCGAATTAGATTTTTGGAAAAATTTCGAATAACATTTTTCGGCTTGAGAGAATCGAATTTGCAGAAGACGCCATTTCTTTGATGTTAATTACAATTCAATCAAGAGAGAAAATTCGAAACCTCTTCCCTTTCTTTCTTCCCGCTCTATCCTTCCCTCCTCGTTTCTTCGTCCTTGTCCATTCTATAAGAGATGGTCGTATTAGGGAAAAACTCGAATAACATTTCTTTGATGTTAATTACAATTCAATCAAGAAAATTCGAAACCTCTTTCCTCTATCCCTCCTTCCTCGTTTCTTCGTCCCTTTCCATTCTACAAAATGATATGAGAAAGAAGTACGATCGAATTAGATATTTGGAAAAACTTCGAATAACATTTTTCGGCTCGAGAGAATCGAATTTGCAGAAGACACCATG